AAAACTATGCAATTTATGTAACAGTCTAATACTTGCCTAGCACAAAGTAAAAACCAACGACTGTTATTTGCTAGAAGTGCTGAACAAATACATGTAGTTTTAAAATTAATATTAACTATTCATAGGCATCTGAGGGGTTACTAAAGGAAGGATAAAATGGCCCATGTGCCACAGTGGCTCCTTCCTGGCAGAAGAGACAAATATGGCATAGAATTTCAGGCCCAGTAGGCTATGGGGTGCTAAGTCAAGGCTGATTGGTACACAGGGAAGGGGTCAAGGTGACTGAGATTGGCTTGAATCTTGAAGGATGAGTAGGAAGCTAATAGGTGAAGATGGTCCAGCAAGGCATTCCTAGCAGGTGACATAGCCTGGGGAAAGGCCTGGAGCTGCCAGATGCTGGTCTGTTGACTTCAGAGCAAGAGCAGGAGTCTTAAGAAGAGTGTTCTAGCTGCTTAGGAAGACAATGAGGGCTGGGAGCATAGCCAATGATATGGGGTTCAGCCTCCAGCAAGAGAGAGAAACGGAGGGCCTACAGCATAGCAAGCTGCACTGTGATGTCAGCATTCACAGAGAAGAAATTAACTTGTTCATTCCTCTTTTGTAGCCCGTTCTCAAAAGACTTCAGGTATTGGGCGTCTAATGGTGCATGTCATTGAAGCTACAGAATTAAAAGCCTGTAAACCAAATGGTAAATGCTTCTGTCATTCAACAGATGTGGTAATGCCCTATTCTTTTACTGGTGCCTCTTTTGTACATAGATGGAATACTTTTTAGAAGGCAGCATTTGGGGGCTGGAGAGAAGGCTCAGCTGTTAAGAGCACTAGCTGCACTTGCAGAGGACCTGGGTTTGGTTCCCAGAACCTGCATGACAGCTAACAACTGTCTATAAATCCAGTTCCAGGGATCCAACACCCTCTTCTGGGCCCCGCAGGCATTGCATAACACAGTGCACTTACATACATGCAGGCAGAACACTCATACACAAAGTAAAAATAAATAAATCAAAAAAATTAAAAGGCAGCATTTCCAATGCCACCAGAAGAGTGATAAACTATTTATTGGACCAACATCATCACTGTTTCCCCAGTATACAGCAATACCCACCATCTTGATTGCTGCCACATGAAAAGTATAAAGCATGTCACATGGGCACCTGCCCAGGCTTGTGGGGAACAGTCCTGGTGTTGGAACCACACTTGCTCACCATTTCAGGACCACTGGGAACATGGAGGCCATACTGCTGCTGGACGCAGGGTAAATGCTGGCCACCAAGCAATAGCATCTGCTGCCATGGTCTCTGGTGAAACAGCCTTGTAGATCTTGCTTTGGCTTTAGGATGGTCATTAGTCACCCGTGCCACATATGTCTTTGGGCCATTTCTGTTCAGGGAAGAGTAATCCATACTGTGAAATCAGCATGGGCTCCCAGAGCTACACCACCAGAACGCTCCAGGACACGCTAAATCCCAAGTGGAATTTCAACTGCCAGTTCTTCATCAAGGATCTTTACCAAGATGTGCTGTGTCTCACTATGTTCGACAGAGACCAGTTTTCTCCAGATGGTAAGTATAACTTGGCAAGCAGGACTAAAGGCATTCCATTTGTTAGGTTCTGGGGTCTGCACCAAGGCCCTGCCTTGTAGACCTAGGGCCCTATCCCATGGCACCTACAGGAAATGATACAGACCCATGTCAGCTCCCTTTGGCAGCAGATTGGTGCTTGGTGGAGGGTATGGCCTTTGAACCTGCACACATAAGGGAAACACTGTGCTCCTGGTGAACACCAAATGGGCAGAACCTTCTAACCAGACAGACTTGAATTCCAAAAAGGCAGCTGGCACTATGCATGTATCCACTGTCAGTATCTGTGGGGAGCCGCCTGCCGTCCCTGCAGACGCCATTACAAGATGGCGCTCACATCCGGTTCATGCTGAGCAGTAAATAAGTCAGTACGCATGCCCGAAGTAATTTTCCACCTTCTAGTCTCTGCCTACCTCGTGGCGTGATATGGGCTGATGAGTTTGCGACCAATCAAGAGTTGCCACGTCCAAGACGGGCTTACTAACCTATATAAGGGCTGGGTTTCTGACATTCGGGGTCTTCGCCCTGTAAGCTTATGCTCTCCCTCTCAAGATGCATTAAAGCTTTTCTGCAGAAGGATCCTGAGTGTGCCGCGTCGTTCTTGCTGGCGAGACGATAGCGCGGGACAAGTATCAACATCTATAAGCCAGCAAAGCTTTCTAAATCCTGTTTCAGACTCTCTTCCTCAGGTAGTTTTTAATCAGTTTTATAAAGAACAAAGACTTTCAACCCTTACATGCTGTTTATTTCCCAGATTTCTTGGGTCGAACTGAAGTCCCAGTGGCAAAAATTCGAACAGAACAGGAAAACAAAGGCCCTACAACCCGCCGACTACTGCTGCACGAAGTCCCCACTGGGGAGGTCTGGGTCCGCTTTGACCTGCAACTTTTTGAACAAAAAACTCTCCTCTAAGGGCCTAAGGAAGCCAGCACCAAGAGAGCTGCCCACAAGCCTGGAGCTAAAGAATGAGAGACTACATTCTTCTGGGGCTGAGGAGCATCACATGGCTTCATCCATCACAAAGCCCTGCATGCTGGGGCCTGTATTTTATCGCGCACTCAATCACTAGCGATCTATGCAAACATGATCTTTCCTCTAAACCCCACAGCACAGTGCCTTGTACTAGTGTTAACATGTTCAGCTGTGTTAGATGCCAGGGTTTCCATTTTCAGGGCTATAAAGTATTATGTGGAAATGAGGCATCAGACTACCAGATGTTACACTTGGTGAATGTGTCCACTGTGGAGTTGGCAGCGTTGGAACCATTCCGCACCATGTGACCTCTGCTGGGTCACAGCACTCAGGAGGTAAAGGGCTCGGGGCTTGTGCAGCCTGACACTGAAGCATCCACCTGTGCACTGAATAAACAGACTTGATCGTTTATTCTGATTAGATCTTATCATTCTCTGCTAAGACAATATAGTCTGACATAAAGGGGAAAGCTTGATATACTTTAAATACTGTGAACTCTAATAATGTGGAAATATTTTTCAACTTTAATTTTCTGAGATATAAATTATTTATGTAAATTCTTGTTTTGCATATTTCATAGGACATGTATCTTTAAGCTTTATCATTGCCAACATGTACAGAAAGAGAATAAAAGTATAAGTTTATAAAAGTAACTCCTTTCAAAATTTGACTGCTTGAAATCACTCTGTGTAAAAGGTAGCTTCAGAGGTTGCTTATCATGAAACAAAATTTCCTTTTTGGCACAGTGGAAAACCAAAGGAACAGGAACAGGAGACTCAAGGTCCCCAGCTTAACTCTGCTGCTAACCATCTGTGTATCCATGTTGGGTTTCTGAGCCTTGATTTCACCTGTGGGGGGGTGAACTGTGTGGAAGGTAGGCCTGGCCCTTTTGAGTCCTGCTCCTGGTAGAGAACCCTCAAGGGTGACCCACTAGGAAAGGTAAAGCTGAGAACCCTCAAGGGTGACCCACTAGGAAAGGTAAAGCTCCGGAAGCCTATCTCCTCATGTCCCCTGTCCCACTGGAGTCACAACTATACCTGCCTGAGCCGCTTATCTGGCTTTTGAATATTGAAATAGGAATTTTGGGTTGAATGTTAATCTAAGCTCTTAAACACTAAATTACCAGTTGAATAAAACTGAGGAAATGTCTGCCCTTTGAAAGAATCTCTTGGACTGTAGGAGCCCTGGTTACTAAGAGGACAACCTTCTTCCAAGTAGCTGGAGGAACCAGGAAGGGCTCAAGGCTCTCTCCACATTTTGGTTTAAATATAATCACTTGGCAAAAGAGAAATGGAAAACATAGTTCAGTATATTGAAATTTTAAATATCCATCAATATTCCAGATATTGATCCTGTATAGTTATTGGCTAAAAACAGAAAAAAAAGAGACATTACAGGAAAAAAAGAGACATTACTTGGTAAACAAAACTAAAACAACTGGACATTTTGCATTGACAGGACAGCTTGCAGGGTCAGGCATGGCCTCGCTGAGCAAACCTGATTGTTTCTTAGGTTTGGGGAAGTGTGTTTTATTGGTTCTGGAGGCAAGAGGGAGCTGACGTCAAGATGAATCTCACAGCCAATGTCCAGAGCGTGACACCTGGCAACTGGGAAGTTCTAAAGCCAGCTCTGGGGTTACTTGTGACTGTAGTTGCACAACAGTCTTGCTCTTCCTGGGACTCTAGAGACTTTAATCTTCACTAGGATGAGTGTGGCTAGTGCCATGTCTCCATCTCTAGATGAGTCAGGATGCCTTGATCAGATTTAGGACTCAGGAGCCTACAGGATCTGAGGCAGGTAACTGATGACTAGAGAGGATGCAGCCAGCACCTCGTCATCCTCAGACCTAGCAACCCAGAACTGCCCCCTGAAGAAGTCAAGTTCTCTCCCCAGCTGAACAGTGAGCCCAATTTTCTAGAAAGCATGGGGAGTAGAGAGGCCCCAAGACTCCTTACATCCACCAGGAAGCAGGTAAGCCTTATACAACTGGTAATTTGGTGGGGAATCCCCCAGCAAACCCCTCCAGTGCCCCTGGGGTCAATATTGCAGTAGCAGAAGACGGGGAACTCCATCTTCCAAAAGGGGGCCCTCATCCTTAGCAATCTAACCACCGCTGCCAGGTCTGATTATCTGTGAGGAGAAAGTGTGCCCTGGAAGCATGAGCAGGACTTGAATAGAACTCTGATACCTTTGAGCTAGAGACTGGCTTCAAGTGAGTCAGAGAGCCCCTCTGAGCATCAAGGATTGGGACATAAAATGTGATCTTGCTGTTAAAATGTTTAAATGAACAGAAAACATCTCACACACTTCCTGGTCACAACCAGAGCTTAAAAAACAGTAACTGCTGTTGTTTGGATATTTCTTGCAATAGCTTTCTACTTAGGGAGCAAAAAGCTGCATTCTCAGTATTTTAAGTGCATATGTGCACTATGATGGCGAAGCCCTAGGATCATTGGTAGCCTGACCTGGCTGCCCCCTGCAGGGAGGCCAGGTGCTTCCCCAGGACCTCTGCTGTCATCACTCTTCTTCCCACAGACTGTGGTCCCTGGGTATGTCTGCTATCCCCTGGAGCCCAGGATTGTGGCCCAGTTGCTAAAACCTGTTGACAGAAGAGAAGGGCTGCACGTAGTGTCAGGCGAACAGGCTCATGGGAGAAGGACCCCACAGACCTTGCCCCACACCCAGCCCTCCTACCCTTTCAGATGGGTTCCCAACCAACCCTCTTGCCTCACTTCTCTGCCTGGTTTCTGCAGTCTCACATGAGCCTCTCCATGTCTTCAACTCCGTCAACCTTTAATGGTATGGCAGAGGTGACTAGCTGTCCCCAAAGTGGCCCGCTCCACTATGTTCAGACACTCCAGGGACTGCTTTTCCCAGCACCTTTGTGCCCTACAGTTAGGGACAAGCCATGTGCCTAGGTCCTAGCCCACAGAAAATCAGAGGAAGAAACACATGCCATCTTCAGTCCTGTCCAAAATACACCAGGACACAACTCTTCCCAGGTCACTTTGGTTTTCTGGTTGGCAGAAAAAGCTGAAGATAATAAAGGCCCACCAGATGGGGTCCTGAAGGGGACAGCCTGCTGACCTGCCGACCCACCCACTATTGGTATTCAAATAGAAACTAAACTTCTATTATATTTAAATCATTCTCCATTTTTTTGAATCTTGTGACAGTGGGGAGCCCTTCCCTGATATGACAGAGTTCACTTAAGACCTGAAATGAACAAACTACGCTATATCAAAATAAAAAGCTTCTGCACAGCAAAGGCCAGAGGAGAGGGGAGAAAGGCCAGAGGAGACAGTGGAGGAGGATGTAGATAAGGAACATATTCACCATCTTACACAAGTATTGGATATTTTGGTATGGGCTAGGGGACCTAGAACCAATCTCCAAAAGATACCAAAAACTGTAATTAAAGTTTGCTAATAATAAGGCCTTAAATATTCTCATCACACACATACACATAACTATGTAAAGTGAAGGATATGTTAATGTGCTTGGTTATGGCAGTTCAATGAATGTTTACATCAAATTGAACATCTTGAATATTAAAAAGCAACAAGGAGCTCCTGTTCACTCACATATGACACTCTGGAAAGGACTGAAAAAAGCTATGTGGAAGCTACCATCTCAGCAGACATGTCCAACCTATGCCCAGCGAACCACATGTGGCTGAGGATAGCCATGAACATAGCCCAACACAAAGCGATGAACTTAAAACATTATGAGTTTTTGCATTTTTCTTTTTACAACTTGATTGCACGGTTCTCAGGTATGACCTTTGTAGATGACAATGTCTTTTTTTTTTTTTTTTTTTTTTTTTTTTTTTTTTTTTTGGTCTTTTTGAGACAGGGTCTCCCTGTAGGCCCAGCTGTCCTGGAACTCACTATGTAGATCAGGCTGGCCTTGAACTCACAGAGATCCACCTGCCTCTGCCTCCCAAGTGCTGGGATTAAAGGCGTGTGCCACCACATCAGGCAATGACAATATCTTGTCACGATGTCAGAAGGTTAGACATGCCTGAAGAAAGAATTTTTTTCTAAGGAGACTGAGTAGGACCTGACAGTTTTCAAGCTGGAGAGAGGAAGGAATCCCTGGCTCTCAGCATGTGGTGGAGGTGAAGGTAGGACAGCCTCACTCACGCAGACCATGAACCTAAAGCTGATTCTTCAGGGGGTCTAAACCTCAAGCTTAAGAGGAAGGAAAGAGTCCAGGAGGTGCCACCTGGGCCTACCCAATTGTCATCCCTGGATGCAAAGTCTGTGCTAGGAAAATTCTTTTTATATATCTAAAAGCTCATTTTGCCCTCCGTCCCCCATATAAGTTTCATTTGAAAAAAAAATTGTATGTACTGTGACTGAACTAAAAATTTTTTCTTATTGGTGGTAATGAGTAGTGTTTTGAGACAAGGTCTTGCTATGTGGCCAGGCTAGGCTCGAATTCTTGACCCCCCTGTTCCTGCCTCCCAAGTGCTGAGATTATAGGGTGTGCACACCACCATTCCTGGCTAAGAACAAAATGTTTGGTCTGGTTTCAATGTAGTGCATAGCAAGTAGTAGAAAAGTGGCAGAAGAGGGGCTGGAAAGATGGCTCAGTGGTTAAAAGCACTTGCTGCTTTTGCAGAAGACCAGAGTTTGGTTCCTAGCACTCATGCCAGGCAGCTCACAACCACCTGTAACTCCAGCTCCAATGAGTCCTCTTTTGGTCTCTGTGAGCATCAGGCACACACATGCATCTACATACATGCAATCACTCACACGTAAAAGAAATAAATCTTTTTTAAAGTGAATATATAAAGTCTTTTTTAAAAAAAAAAAGAAAGAGGGGATAGAGAGCTGGCTCAGCAGTTAAGAGCACTGGCTGCTCTTGCAGAGGACCTGGGTTTGATTCCCAGCACCCACACGGTGGCTAACCACCATCCTAACTCCAGTTCCAGGGTATCATACGCCCTCTTTTGACCTCTGCAGGCATTGCATGACAGGTGCACTTACATACATGTAGGCAATACATTCATACACATAAAATAAAAATAATATCTTTCTTAATTTTTTAAAAAAGAAAAATAGGATTTAGGAAAGAATTGAAGAAATGTTAGAAGTAGACCTCCTCTGACCAATCTGCTTTGCCTTCACCTTGAGGACATGTCTGCACCTAAAAGTAGGGGTACAGAAACCCACAGTTCTGAGTCCCTTCCCTGCTAAGCCCCCATCAAGGCAGTGGAGCTGAGTGTCTGGCAACCTAACCATCTCACTACATGAAATGAATGTTCTTTGTTGCTTCCACTTTTTCACTCCAGACTTTGGCTACTGCCTCTTCTATGAGGGAGGGCTTTGCCAGGCTCCACTTTGGCATCAAAGTTTGCTGCTTAGTGAGTAATGCGAATTATGCCCACTCAGCATAATTCAACTCACCAGAACCTTCTTTTCAGCCTCTTTGTTCTCTGGGCTGAGCTTTGAGGAACGGAACTGTCTTTCAAAAGCAATCTGACCCAGGTCAGAAGTTTTCTCTTACTGAGGGAGATGCTGCTTTATTGCACATATGAGCTTTTTAGGACTGTGAAGTAGAAAAAAGAATCTTGACTCAGCATACTTAGAATACATATCATTCTATGTATTTACTTTGTATTTGATAACTTTTCTAAACTTTATTGATTTTTAATATAATAATTCTTTAAGAATTTCATACATACATGCAATGTATTTTGATCATGTTCACCCCTTACTCTTCCTCTAACTCCTTCAAGATGCACCCCCTCCCAACTTCATGTCCTTTTTTTTTTTTTAATAACCCACTGTCATGGTTGCCTTCAGCTGACAACTTGACATACCTAGGCAGGAAGACCCTCAATTGGGGAATTTCCTTTATCTGACTGGCCTGAGGGCATGTCTGAGGCATTTTCTTGATTGTGGAGTGATGTGGGATAGCCTACTCCACTGTGGGTGCTGCCACCCCTGGGAAGGTAGTTCTGGATTGTACAAGAAAGCAGGTTGCACACAGGGCAGAGAAGCAAGCCAGTAGGCAGCTTTCCTCCATTCTCTGTTCTTCAGTTCCTGCCTCCAGGCTCCTACCCTGAGTTCCTGCCTGACTTCCCTCAAAGACTACTGTCACTTGGAAGTGTAAAGTGCAATAAGCCCTTCCTTCCTCAAGTTGTTTTTGGTCACAGTGTTTTGTTTTGCTTTGTTTTGTTTGAGACAGGGTCTCCCTGTAGACCCAGCTGACTGAGAACTCATCATGTAGACCAGGCTGGTCTCTATCTCAGAGAGATCTGCCTGCTTCTGCTGGTATTAAAACCATGTGCCACCGCACCCCCCACCCCGCCAGCTAGTCAGTGTTTTGTCACAGTAATAGAAAGCTAACTAAAACACCCATTAAGTCTAGGTTATACTGCCATATCCTCATGGGTATAGGGCCATCAACTGTCAATAACTCTTCGGCTTAGAGTAGGGGTTCATGAGCCCCTCCCCTCCACATTTTTTTAATATTTAATTTAGTCTTCTGTATTTTCTATGTAGATCATCATATTATCTGCTAAAAATGAAGTTTTATTTCTTCTCTTCCATCACTTTTACTTTTTATCTCTTTTGTCTTACAGTACTAATCAAGCTCTCTGTACAAAGTTGAAGTAGCAATGAAGAGTTTCCTTGTCTGATTCATAAACTCAAAGGAAAAGCTTTAGTGTTCACTATGATTTCTATTATCTACAGAAATCTATTGACAAATTAAGGAAATTAATTACTATCTTTCAAATGCTATGAGATTTTTGGGACCATGACTAGATTTTGAATTACATTGCTATACATTTATTGAAATGATTATGATTTTATTCCTTTGTTCTATTAATGTAAAAAATTATACTGATCTTCAGAACAATTTATTACTTAAAAATATATTGAATCTGTCACCTAGGCTGAGTGGCCACCAACATTTTACCATACTTGACTTTTCCCCTACACTCTCTTTATCTGCTCTTGCTTTTCTGGAACAGTTCCTAGACTCGTGTTAGTTCACTTATTTGGTTACTCTGTACCTGCATGTGCCACCAGTTTTACTCCTCACGGACCCAGTTGAGGCTCTCTTCCTCTCCTTTGGGATCATGCCTTGTGACATGAACTGGGGCGGTTTGGCGGCCTTCTCTGTTTCTTTAAGTTCTTCTTTCGTGTCATATTGTTTTCCTACAGAAAAATGCAAAAGCAAAATCAAATTCTTTAAAAACCCCAGTGCTCTTAGGGTGGGAAATCATTTGACACTTAGCAGTCTCTAAAAATGCAGCCCCTGATCACAAAGCACCTATTCCACATTGATAACTGGTTCTTTTCTTTTCACCGGCCTCTTGCCATCTTCGAAATAGACACAAAATGGAGGAACTGTAGCTTACAGGAAAAATAAGACTCTTTGAGACCCACCCAGTGCAGTTTTTAGTAAGCTGTTTAAATATGTCCTAAGTACTCAAGTGTGGCCTCACTTATACTAAAGCTGCCCAGGCTCAAGACTAATCGACATCACCTGCCTCCAATGGGGATGTTTCCTGAGTGTAAATGCTGAAAATAGGGGCCATCCCCAGAAGAGACAGCTTCTGTTTGGAGTTTTACTGCATCATTACATCAGTCAATAATATTGGCTCAGCCACTCTGTGCCACACCTAGACCAGGTCCTATCCCCGTGAGTTTCTCAAACTAGAATGTACAGGGCACACACAATGACAACTTGGTCATGAGAAGAGCCAGCTCATAACTTTAGGAACACAGACTCTGTTCTTAACCAATCCTGGGAAAAGGCCTCCTGAAGACACTGCCCACTGCTCTTTAAAGATGGTGAGAACAGCAGAGTCAGGGAACATTAAGGCAAGGGTGGGAGGTACAGAGACCACTAAAAAAGAATTCCCCTCTCCCCAGATAAAACCTTTAGGAAGAGGGACTATTTTTCCCTTCTTTACTTCTTTTACAACCCTTGAACATCATACTCTGGTTTCAAAGACACCTGGATTCCATCTTGAGTTCTGCCTCTTAGGGCATTTAAGAATTAATATTTCATGTACATTTTCCAATTTTTTTGTTCATAAATATACTTAAATGCTTCTAATATTCTACCTAAACTGTTCTATATCTCTAGTAAATATCTGGGGTAGAGGGGCCCAAGAAACAAAAAGCAAAGAGCCTATAGTATACACCCAAAGCCAACAGATTTAAATTTGGTATTGCAATTAGGATGGACCTAAATTCCTAAAGAAATTCCTGACTTCAAAGTTAAAAACTTTGTTGAACTCCAAAATGAGACACCAAAATGTTGCTGTTTTGTAAAGCCAGAAGGAAGAAGAGAGCTGTTAGTCCCTACACTTGATGGTTGGCTGGGACCACATGGTCCCCTTCCTCCTTGTCTACTTCCTACCACAGAGATTAGAAAGCCACCCATTCTCTTTTCTCGCCTGTTCATATAACCCAATTCTAGTAAGGAAAACTAAAAGCAAGTCAGCTTAAGGAGTCCTAGAGAGTCTGCTTCCTAATCAAAGAAGCAGGATGCATAAGAGTCCCGGGACACTATTCCCCTGTTCTTTCTGCCTTGAAGCAGACCTGGTGCCTGGAGCTGTGAGCAGCATCGGGAGGACAGGAGAAGGAATGATGGGATGACCTGAACACATTAGCAGCAGCAGAAAAGGAACAAAAGAAAAAAACATTACACTTTATTAACAGAAATCAAATAAAACTCAGTACCGGTTTATTTGAGTCCTTTAAATAATAGACTTCTGTTGGTTTTTTCAGCTCCTCTATATGAAATCACTTTTTCTATAATTCTCTGCTGAAGAAGCCCTGCAACATTTTCAGCCCACTTTTTATGTAACAACTCTTTTCTTCTTTCCTTAAAAATAGACAGATGCTGAAAATATGTATCCAATTTCTATCAACTATAAACAAAAGAAATTAAGAAAATTTTCATGTTACCATTTTATTAGTGGGGGAGAAAACACTTGTTCCTAAGTTTCCGCCACCTTCATGCTACAGAGCCTTACCACAAAATAACTGCCACACAGAATAAACTTCAGAGAACTTGAGAAGAGAGAGCAAGAAGTAGTTACAGAAAGTTCCAGCTCATACTGTGCCTTCGTATTACAAACAGCTATCCAACTCAAGAATTCGTTCTTTCCTAGTTCACCAAATTCATACTTCTTTTTTAGGATTTCAAAACTGTACCTGGGACCAGTAGTAGTGGTGCACACCTTTAATCCCAGCACTTGGGAGGCAGAGGCAGGTGGATCTCTGTGAAATAGGCCAACCTGGTCTACACAGTGAGTTCCAGACAATCCAGGGCTACACAGAGACCCTGTCTCAAAAATGTTTCTGGTCATATTCCATACCTAGACTTCATCATCAGGAAGGTCTGTGACTGAATTAGAAGATCAAAAGGACACTAGACTTGCTTTGAGACAGCTCTCCGATCTATAAAAGGAGGCTAATCCCACTGCTGCTTTTGATGCTCAAATGAGACTATATGGGCAGGCAGTAATCTAGTTACTACCCAGCCCAGTGCTCTCTCTTGCAGTGTACTCAATAAACTACTGGGGGAAGGGGCACAGATATATATGCATTTACTTTGTAAATTACAAATCACAATAAAAATGTCAAAGTATTAGAATACTAAATTTCAATCTACTGGAAATTAACTCCCCTAAAACTTGTTAATCCCATAGTGATTATCAGTTGCTAATTAATACTAATCAATGCTGGTAATTTTATAAGTCCAATGCAGTATGGGAAATAGGATAAAGAGGCAAATTTTGGTAGAAAATAATTTCTATTTAGTACAAGTCAAAACAAGATATTTTAAGAGATCCTGCAAAGAGGTGGCACAATCTCAGGTCTGCTCAAAGGAGTAAGTCAGAGGAGTTTCGTTCTCCCTGCAAATGAATGTCTGTGATACGGTGTTATGGTTTGGACCTTGAATGTCCCCGCAAGCTCATTTGCTGGTTTCTGTTCCCTGTTGATGGGCTAACAGGAGGTAGTGGAAACTTCAGGAGGCAAAGCTAGTGGAAGGAAGATAGGTTGTTGGGAACATGCCTTTAAAGAGGCCCTTCATTCCTTCTCTTTTTGCTTCCCAGATGCCAAGGGCAGCTCTGTGTCACCACGCATGCCCTTCCATTATGTTCACCTTTACAACAGGCCTGAAGTGATGGGATAAGTGACTATGGGCAGAAACCCCTGAAATTCTGAGCCAAAACACACCTTTTAAACTTTTTATCCCAGGTGTTTATCACACAGCACAGGTCTAACACACACGGAAACATCAACTCCTAGTCATGCTGTTCTGTATCGCCCCTGCTCCTCCAGGGCAAACAGCACACACAGTGTGCAGCCAGCTCTTACCTTCACAATATAGTTTTCTCTAAATAATATTGCATGTACAGCTTCATCAATGTCTTCTCTAGCTAATACCTAAAATTACAGAATTGAATGTTAGGTCATAAATCCTGAAGAAATGAGCAGAATGACAAATCCCAGGGTGATATACCAAAATTGTTAGTGCAAATGTAATGTTTGTATCTCAGAGCACAGTTTGGAGCTTCAGAAAAATATTTTATTATTTTATGTGTATGAGTGTATTGCCTGCATATGTGTAAGTGCACCCATATCATGCAATGTCCATGGAGGTCAGAAGAAGGTGTCGGATTCCCTGGAACTGGAGTTATGGACGGTTGTTAGCCACCATGTGGGTGCTGGGACCCAAACTTGGGTCCTCTGAAAAAGCAGCCAGTGCTCTTAACCACTTGTAACTTTTTATTATGGAACTTTTCAAAAACTGTTGTCTATGAACCCATCACCTAGTTTCAATGAGTAACAATTCAAAATCAACTTTATTTCATCTAACTCCCAGCTCATTTTTTCCTATCCACCTAGGTTATTTTGAAACAAATTCTTGATATCATATCATTAAACCATATTTTGTTAAAGTTCCAAGATTCTGGGACTATAGAGATGGCTCAGCAGTTAAGAGTGCATATTAAGGCCAAGTATGGTGGTGCATATCTTTAATCCCCAGCATTTGGGAGGCAGAAGCGGGTGGATCTCTGTAAATTCAAGCCCAACCTGGTCTACATAAAGACTTCTACGTCAGCCAGGATGATATAATGAGACCCTTTCTCAGAGAGAGATCAGGCCCACAAGATGGTTCACCCAGTAAAGGTGCTTGCTTCCATGCCTGACCATCTGGATTCAATCCCCCATATACACAAAGTGGAAGAAGACACTCCCGGAAGCTGTCCTCTGGCCTCTACAAGTAAACTGTGACAAGTATGTACACATACAAGCACACACATGTAAATAAATGTAATTAATGTGTAATAAATGTGTAATATGTAATAAATGGTGTTTGTCACTGACAGGTTCTTCACAATTTTTTCAGAAAAATATAAAAACATTAATGATGTGCAGCAGTTCTTCTGAAATCCACTGCTTTCTGTTCACAAACGTAAAAATATTAGACAGATCACTACTCTTAATGCCTCATGGCAAAGGGGCAAAATAAATTCCCAAGAGCTTTTCTTTATGAGGCAAATCACAGGCGCCTACAAAACTGAAACTTTATAAAGAAGTCACTAGCAGACCCTGAACAGCAAGCTCTGAGCTGCTGTTTACCTACTGGCCAGCTGGTTGGCCATTCTGTTCCTCAGGCTGATGACAGGGAATACCCTACGTTCTTGGTCAAAACTGAACCCCAGCCCATCCCTACTCAACAAATTCTTTTCCGTGCCTAGTCTAAGCCAAGTACTATTTCAATTCTGGAAATCCAAGACCAAATGGTCCTAAACTCAAGGGGTTTGTGCCCCACCAGAGCCAATATGTTAAAAAAAGAAAACCATGCTGTTACCTCCATTAAAGACACGACTCTGGCTCCGGCCATTCTTTTCGTTTCTCTGGCCTGAAATGTTCATCAGAGTTTGAGGGCTTCCTGGCAGCCATTAAATAGAACCCTCGAGGGAGAACAAACTGAGGACACTTAACCTATCACTGTGTAGCGCCTCCCTGGCCTCTTCCTAGTGTCCCTGAGACCTGGCGCCCTAGGCCACACTTCCCACCAGGGACGATGATCCCCTTCCCGCGTGGTCTTGGGTCGAAAGCAGGCCTTCAACGCTGGCAGCATGGCCCTGGCCGAGGGCGAGACACTGGGCTGGCCGCCGCCCTCAGCGGGGAGGGATGGCTGCCTCAAGCCCCCTGGCGTCCCGGAAGTCGGCCACTCCGAGGCTGGTCAAGGTCCGGAACCCAAAGCGGTGGCCTTCTTCCGCTGCCTCAGGACCGCAGGCCCCCGGCCCGAGCCTTGGCTGGGCTGCTCAGGAACTGGTCAAGGCCCTCGGGGAGGGATGGTGGCCTCAGGCCCGCAGGCCTCTCGGGCTGCGGTTGGTCGATTGGTCGCTGCCAGTGCAGCAGGCCTGGGCCAGGCGGCTTCTCAGTGAGGAGCCCAGGGCCGAGTGGCTCCAGGCTCCACGTGCAGGACACCAGGCCGCGTGTTCCAGGAGGCCAGAGACCTAACTCCCTTCAGAACGTCATGTCCACAGCAAATTAAACGCTGGTTTAAATCTAGAGTCTCCCCTCTGCCTTCCGGCTATCCTTCCTCAGTTGGCCTCTAGGGATGTCTGCGGGCCACGGTTGAAGCTTATAATATTGGTAGTCTTTTATATGAAAAAAACATAAAATTATACATATAAATTTAGTATTTAACGGGTCACAATTGCAAATCTAAAAATCTGACAATGACAAATATTACATATTGAGAAAATACACAAAATAACAATATCATACACCCTATAGCAGTAGTTGTCAGGCACCTTTCATGTTTCAACTTATCTAAGTCTTGCTGTGTACCCAGGCTGGCCTGGAACTTGGGATCCTTCTGGGTCAACCTCCCAGAGTTCTGGGATTACAGGCATGCACCACAACAGGGCTGAGGTACTTTCCAAGGAAATGTGAACTATTTGGAATTGCTATTCATGCCCAAGAACAGGGAAAGAAAAGGCTTCTACTCTACCATCTGGAGTGGGAATCAACAGTGGTGATATTGTTATCCGAGATTTGCTTCAAACCATTCAGTTGTAACAAGTAGGTGTGGTGATAAATGAAACAAGGCTGACAAAGTTTTCAGTATTGAAGCTGAGTTCGTTATATAGTTGTTTGTGTATACTTCTCTGAAATTTCCCACACCATAATGTTTTAAATTTTTAATCTAGTTTTTACCTGGAACCACATGTAGATTGAAGGCAAGATGCCAAAATACCAGGATCAAGGCACAAAATTTTGAATAAAGCACAATCACCATTTTGAATAAATTCTGTTCTGTCTTGGCCTTCAACTTCATAAATTGTTCTTGTAGGCTGATTGATGAATTCAACTCTAGTTGGGTTACCAATGGTACTGGCTTATGCTTTTTTTGGTTTGTTCATTTGTTTGGTGTGTGTGAAAGCTAGGGCACTGACTAAGACAGAGGCAACTTCTAGTTATGTGTGTACATGTGGGGAACAAACAGACTGAAGAATTCAGACTCCCTTAATGCAAACTCAATATGAGCTGGTGGGTAACAGAAAAAAAATCAGCTAGGAAGTAATCATACTCAAAATGAAATTTTTAATTTTCTAAAGAATTGGGGGGGAGGGGATGGCAGGGTCTGGAGAGATGGCTCAGTGGTTAAGAGCGCTGGTTGCTCTTGCAGAAAACCCAGGTTCCATTCCCAACACCCACATGGCGGCTGAAGCCGTCTGTAACTCCAGTTCCAGGGGGTCTGATGCCCTCTTCTGACTTCTGTGGGCTTTGCATGACATAGGTACACCTACATACATGCAGGCAATACACTCATATACATAAAGTAAAAATAATAAATAAAATATTAAAAAAGAATATTGGAAGCTAAAAGTGGTAGTAAATGCCTATAATCCCAGCACTTAGGAGGCTGAGGCAAGAGGATGAAGAGTTTGAGGCCAATATGTACCAACTAACCAACACAAACAAAAAACCCTACCAAAAGGAAAAAGGAGGAATCTTGTAAAAACCTGGGGAGGATATATGGATGTGAATTCAAGGAGAATATAATAGGCATAAACAAATGAATTGACACAGCATTCAGTAAGATTGCTATTTTTATTTGATCCTTCAGTAATCTTTAACTTCTGAGGAAATGATATTGTCATTTCTTAATCATCCAGACACTGACCTCAAAAGTTAAATGAAGTTTATTGCATATAAGAACATAACAACTCTTGAATGTCTTCCTTAGTCCTCAGGATTCCAGCCAATGGGTAACGTTCCTCTGAAGCAGCCTTCTTTGGTGCCCCTTTCAGGGATCAAGAATCAGGATGTGTGGTTGTCATAACCTTTTGGAAGTGACAAAAGAGTTGAGTGTGATGGATGAGGGGTTTGCAGGATCAGAAAGAGTCCCTTGGCTAAGGGAAAATGATCCCCTGAAGCCTGATCTGGCCAGAGAGCTAAATGACTCCTCTCACAGAATCTAGCCCTCAGCCCTCTTCTCCTTCAACACTCACTCTCAGATTATCTCATGGCTTCAAGCAGCATCATATTAAGATGACTCAAATAGGCATGTGTACCCTAATACCTCCTCAGACCCTCAGACTGCAGCTACCTGCTTACCTCCAGCTCTTCTGGGAGCTATATGTTTCTGAATGTAACTGAATATTACTAAAATACATACGATTTTAGTCTTGGTATCATTTAGGGACTAGATGCTGTGTTCCAAAGGTATAAAAATCAGTATTTCAGGACTTAAAAAGAGGTCAAGAACTGGTGTGTGTGTGTGTGTGTGTGTATTTCTATTTTTATTTATTTATTTATTTTTGTCTTTTTGAGACAGCATCTCCCTGTAGCCCCAGCTGACCTGGAACTTACTATGTAGACCAGGCTAGCCTTGAACTCACAGAGATCTGCCTGCCTCTGCCTTCCAACTGCTGGGATTAAAGTGCTAGGATTAAAGGCATGTGCCACCATGCCTGGCTTATGTGTTATTTCTTTAAAAATTGTATTTATTCTCTAATCCCAGCACTTGGAAGGTAGAAACAGGTGGATCTCTGTGAGATCGAGGCCAGCCTGGTGTGTATATAGCAAGTTCCAGGCCAGCTGGGGCTATAGGGAGACCCTGTATCAAAAAGGCAAAACAAAAAGAAAAACAAAAGGATGGGCTAGAAATGTAGTTCAGTTGGTAGAGTGCTTGTCTAGTATATATAAAGCTATGAGTTCAATCCCTAGTGCTGCATAAATTGAGCATGATGGCACGTACTTGTAATTCAAGCACTCAGGAGGTAGGAACAAAAGGATCAGAGGTTCAAGTGTATCCTTGATTACATAATGAGTTTGAGGTCAGCCTAGTCTACACGAGACTCTGTCTCAAAAAACAAAACAGGGCTGGAGAGCTGGCTCAGTGGTTAAGAGCACTAGCTGCTCTTTCAGAGAACTTGGGTTCAAATCTCAGGACCCACATGGAGGCTAACAACTGTCCATAACTCCAGTTCCAGGGGATCCGATGCCCTCTTCTGACTGCCACAGGCATTGTATGACATGGGTGCACTTCATACATACAGGCAATACACTTTTGTAAAATAAAAATCATAAATAAAATATATTTTTTTAATTTTTAAAAAACAAATACACACACACACACACACACACACACACACACACACACACATTTCAAGTGAAAGGTCCTTAATGCAAAGATCCTTAATATGACCTATGGCAACAGACCAGATTAGAAAAATGAATCCAAGTTGTATTGCCTGGAGAAACACAGGATCTCTAGAAGTAAGCAGTGAGAGTTCCAGCAGAGGAAACAGCCACACGCAATGAGCTAGAAAAAGTCATCATGAGACACCTATAAGAATTTTCTCTAGTAGTGTCCATGGGAGGAAAAAAACTCAGCTTCTAACACGTGCCAAGCTTGGGTAAGAACTTTCCTGCCCTTTGAAATAATTGAGAATTACAGTATTAAGACATTAAGATGATGAAAGAGGAAGGTGAAAGAAAGAAGACATCACCCCACCAACTGTAGCAGCCCCAGCTGGAGAGAGGAGATCTGCAATGAAGCTGACATCCTGGTCATTTGTTGTATCATCTTGGCATGTTAAGTACTCAACTGAGACTGTGATCATAAGGCTTTATCATCTGAATACCCAGGGAAAGGGAAAACTACCTCAAAAAGAACATATTTATTATTTGCTTGTTTCTTTTTTGAGATGCTGGGGATTGAACCTGGACCTTGCACAAGCTAGGCAAGTGCTCTACACTGAAGTACATCCCTAGCCCCAGAATATGTTTTAATGAACAGCTAGAGGAAAAAAAATTACTTAATAATCATTCCCTACAAATGTTGTTTATGTGTTATAATAGCAAGAGATATCTTAAATTTAGCCCCAGACATTATTCTTTATTTCTGCATTCTTCATGAGGCTCTCCTAGTTCTACTCCAATTTCTCTAGTCATAAACAGGACCATAATGGTGGATTGTGGTGGGTGCAGGCCCCTCAGGACAAGTGTGTGTCCTCGTTTTCTTGTTCACACTCATTTCTCATATCAAATACCAATGCACTCTGTTAGTTTGTTTACTCCTCAGCTCCTCATGACCACCACAACCAACACCAGGCATATGCTCTTAACCCAGTGCCCTCGCCTGCTTCTGTTGTGGCTCTTGTGTAATTGGTTGCACAGTGCCATATTCTTCTTTTTCAAATGATATTTTGCCAAATATGGTAGTGCTTATCTGTAATCCCAGCACTTGGGAGGTGGAGGCAGGAGAATTAAGAGTTCAAGGCCACCCTCTGCTACATAATGAGTTTCAGACCGGCCTAAACTACATGAAACCCTGTCTGTAAGAAACCAAACAATAGCCCAGCATGGTGGCACACACCTGTAATCCCAGCACTGTGAGCTCAAGGCTAGCCTGATTTATATAGCAAGTTCTAGGCCAGGTAGGGTTACATAGTGAGACCCTATCCTAAAATAAACAAACAGAAATCAAAGCACACCACCAAACAAACAAACATCAAAAATAACCTATCACAGGGGCTAGAGAAGTAGCTCAGTGGTTAAGAGCACTGGCTGTTCTTGCAGAGGTCCCAGGTTCAATTCCTAGCACCAATATGGTGGCTATCAACCATCTGTAACTTCATTCCAGGGGAATCTGACGCCCGCTTCTGACCTCCACAGGCACTGCATGACATGGGTACATTTACATACATGCAAGAAATACACTCACACACATAAAATGAAAAAAAAAAAATTAAAAAAAACCTACCACAAAATGTTATTTTGATGTCTCCCCTACTCAAAACATTTGAATGGCTTCCCCTTGCACTACACTTTCTTCTAACTCCTTCTCATGCCTCTGACCCCATATGAATGGTCACCCACCTTCTCTCCAGTCCCATCTCCTGCCTTTCTTTCCACAACTCACCATGCTGCAATATCACTGACATTTTCTTGCTGTTTTCTAAACATGCCAACCTCACTTCCACTTCAAGCTGCTGCCTGTGCCCATCTGTCTTCCTGGACACTCTTCCCCCAGATCTCTCCATGGCCCGCCCTCAGTTCCTGAGGCCACTGCACAATGTGCTCTCTTGCAAGAAGCCTTCTCTGACTTCTCCATTTAAAATTCTATCCCTCATCCACACACACCCCCGCTGCCTCTTACCTGTTTTATTCTCCTCACTGCATTTTTATTAACTCATACATTTATTTGATTATTGTCTGTCTTCACTATCAAAACATCAACTCCACAAGGTCAGAGATTTATCTGTTTTGTTCACCATTATGGCTCCAGTCTCTTAAATACTGCCTGGCTCAGAGCAGTGTTTATTAAAATTTGGGGGAACAAAGCAAGAAATCACAGGAGAGGATACTAAAACATTGTAGGGAAGAGAGTGAAAACACTATGATAGTGGGTAGAGATGGCTCAGCAGTTGAAAGCACTTGCTACTCTTCCAGAGACTCTAGATTCAGTTCCCAGCATCCACATGCATGTAACTCCAACTCCAGGGGATCTGGTGCCTTCTTCTGGCTTCCATGGGCACCTGCACGTACGAGGTATGCACACACACACACACACACACACACACAAAATAATAAAATAATAAATAAATCTTTTAAAAAACAGTGCTAGTTATAGAGGTGACTCCAGTGTCAAGAGCACTTGCTATTCTTCCAGAGGACCCAGGTTCCATTCCCAGCACCCACATGGTGTCTCTGTCACTGTCTTCTGGCCTTTCAAGGCACTGTACATATACTAGATATATATATAGGCAAGCAAAACAATTGCACAAATAAAAATAATTCATTTTTAAAAAATAAAAACCAGTGCTAAAAATTTTAATATATTTTCATTAGTAAGTAAAAAGTTTTAGGAGTCAAGCCACTCCTAAAAGAGACCATCTCCACTGTGTTGGGGCACAGCAGTGCAGAAGGGAACTGAAGTGCAAAAGGACCCCTTACACCTGCAAGTGTCAGACTGGGCACTGGGCTAGGTCTGTCAAATGGTCACCACGCTTACTGTGGTTACCTTGGGAAGAGAGGTCTCTACTCTGTAAACACCTATATTTCTAGATATTTTACATTTGGGGGCTATTACTTTCCTTCTTAATCTTTACTACTTTAGTACACTAGTCCTTTTGAAAACCATCTTGATTGAAAAGAAACAAATTCTGGAACTTGATAGGAAAATGGTAGAGGGAGGTGGTAGGAAGACAGGGTGACAACTCAGGGGCCAGGGAAGTCCTACACAATTTCGGCTCCCACCACTGGGCTCCTCCACTGTGTAGCTCCACCAAATTGCAGGGGTAACTTTCTCCATTACCTCTGAATAAGGACACCTGCCTCTTGGTTTCTTTATCTCTGAGGGGTAGTCAACTGCCTCCTATCATCTTAGAAGCCTGCCATATCAAGAAGCTCCCAGCTATCTAGATTTTTGGTGTTAGTAATTGCTGCCCTGTGTGTCACAAAATGGGACTGATTGTCCCAGCTCTCACCACATCCTGGTCTTCATCCCTTTCTACCTCCTGGCTGAGGTTCACGGAAGAAAAGCACCCTTTGGAATTTATCTCTTTGGAACTTGGGTTCTTTCCTTCCTGACAGACAGCTTCTTTGTTCAGAGAGGGCAGTCCTCTGTTTCTGTGGGGAGGAACCAGAAGGAAACATCTTAACTCAATGTTAGAACTTAAGTTTTTATTAAATATTGAAGTTTATGAGGTCTATATGAGTTCACTTTTTTTGTTTGTTTGTTTGTTGGGTTTTTTTGGTCTTTTTGAAGCAGGGTTTCCCTGTAGCCCCAGCTGTCCTGGAACTCACTATGTAGACCGGGCTGGCCTTGAACTCACAAAGAACCACCTGCCTCTGCCTCCCAAGTGCTGGGACCACAGGCTTGAGCCACCACGCCCGGCAAACTCACACATTTTTATGAAAAAGAAACTCAAACAGAATTACCTTGCTCTAGCATTATTTTTGTCTAAGATCTCTTTGCTGGGCTGGAGAGTTGGCTCAGTAGTTAAGAGCACTGACTGTTCTTGCAGAGGACCTGAGTTCCATTCCCAGCACCCACATGACTGCTAACAACCATCCATAACTCCGTTCTAGGGGATCCAACACCCTCTTCTGACCTCCGCGAGCACTGCATGACATGGATGTACTTACATACATGCAGGCAATATACTTATACACATAAAATAAAAATAATAACAATAAAATAAAATAAAAAAGATCTCCTTGCTGTGCAATCAAACACCTGAGTGACAGGCCTTTGGCCTGAATGACTCCTTCCAGAGAGTCGTTCATTTGTTTTCCCTAGGAAGGTTTAACTTAAAAAAAAAAAAAAAAAAAAGACTGATGCAGTGAAACTAGTCCTCCAAATCCTGGTCAGAGTGGCTCCATCTTGCAGCAAGCAGCCATTTAGCTATTCTTCATGCCAAACTGCAGCTAAACAAGTCATCCTTCCCATGACTACACAGTGCTCGCCCAGACCAGCAGAATCCCTGATAAGACCAAGGATGGAGTACACATAAGCACCTTAAAGCCATAAAAAACAGGTTGGTAAAGGGGTGGGGTTAGGGACAGGGAGGAGAGGGAGCAAGATGGAGATGTCCATACTTATTCATGGCTCCATAAGTAACCCTATGGAGCACACACACACAATTTATCAGTAAATAAATGTAATTTAAAATAGCACATTATTTTTTAGATGACAACTACCTAAAACTTTATTCAAACATGTTTGTTCTGTTGAAAGCCATGGCAATTAGGGATTGTAGAGGAAATGACTCTTTGGATTCTAATATGTAAATAGGGCCTAACTTCAATACTTCCTTTAGCCCTCATTTCCAGTCCCTATTCAATGGATAAAACATCATATTATTAAGCTATGGCTCTGAGACACTGAGAAGCCCACAACAGCCAACTCCATCTCTAATCCTATCTGTTACCACTTTGTTTTTCCTGAGACAAGGTCTCATGATATCGTCCAGGCTGCCTTGGATTATTTTGGGGGGGGGCGGGGGTTGTTATTTTGAGCCACCTCTCTTCAATATCTTGCCACTCTGGTACAGTATTTTGACAACTACTATCTACCAAAAGTAGTCTCAAACTAAAATTCTAATAACCTGTAACTGTAGTACAAGTTGTCAGTCATTCCCACACCACCAGCGTTTTTGTACCTGGGATCACAGCTTCTGTGCTATTTGTCCCTTTAAACCATAAAAGCTGAAGAAAGGTTTTTACCTCACCCTGACACAGTAATGAGGCCTTGATAAAGAGTGGTAAGGGATGTCAACACAGACAAGCATCTTAAATGAATGGGGAGCAAAGTTATGAAATAACACGCTTACTTGTAACTAACTGTCTTTTCTTCCTCCTGGCTGTCCAGAAAATTAGGCACTCTTTTCAAGGGTTTCATATCAAAACTACTATCATTAAAATTCACCTTCACTTTTAACCTTAAACAAAAGAACATGAGTCAGGATGTTTCAAAACAAAACTCATTTGTATTTAAGCATTAATTATTATCAAGCACTGGCTGCTATATGCATGGCCCCAAATACCTTTACTTGAAACTGGTATGCATTCTCAAATGAGATTAGTTGTTCAACAATTTTTTTAAACTTTACTTTTATGTTATGTGTATGAGTGTTTTGCCTGCAAATATATATGTTAAGTGCACCCATGTCACATCATGCAGTACCCACAGAGGCCAGAAGAGAGCGTTGGATCACCTGGAAGTTCCAGATGGTTGTTAGCCGCCATGTGGGTTCTGGGATTTGAACCTTGGTCTTCTGCAAGAGCAGCTGGTGCTCTTAACCACTGAGCCACCTCTCCAGCCCCTCAACAATTTTTATTTTTGTCTTTTTGAGACAGGGTCTCCCTGTAGCCCCAGTTGTCCTGGAACTCACTATGTAGACCAGGCTGGCCTTGAACTCACAAAGATCCACCTGCCTCTGCCTCCCAAGTGCTGGGATTAAAGGCGTGTGTGACCACGCCTTTAACAATTTTTTAAGACATAGCGGAGATAGGGGTTGGAGAGATGACTCAGTGATTAAGAACATTAGCTGTTCTTCCAGAGGACCTGGGTTTGATTCCCAGAACCCACTTGGAGGCTGACAACTGTCTGTAACTCCAGTTTCTGGGGCTCCAACACCTTCTTCTGGCCTCTGCAGGGCATTGTATATACATGGTACACTTACATGCAGGCAAAACACTCCTACACATAAGTTTTGGGGTTTTTTTTTATGTATATGTGTGCATTGCCTGCATGTAGGTAAGTGCACCTGTGTCATGCAAAGCCCTCAGAGGACAGAAGAGACTGTCGGATCCCCTGGAACTGGAGTTACGGACAGTTGTTAACTGCCATGTGGGTGCTGGGATTCAAACCTGGGTCTTCTGCGAGAACAGTCAATGTTCTTAACTACTGAGCCACCTCTCCAGCCCCACATAAGTTTTTTTTTTAAGTAAATAAAATATTTTTTTAAATATGATGGGAGATTGATTTGCTATTTAATGAGAACCAAGAATTAGGCAAAGTTTAAGACCCTCCCTACCCACCGGGAGCTTATACTCTAATGCTAAAAGAAATCCCCCTCCCCCCCCCATCCTTCCTCCTGGTCATTAGCATCACCAATCTGGTAAGTGACCTTCTTGCAGGGCAACCACAATTACAAAAATTGTACCAGAAAACTGAGTTGGCAGAGATTGCTCCAGAAATGGCAGCTTTGCTACTAGAGGGTCTCCTTCAAATTGACAGCTCCCACTGACAAGCTTTCAGATTAAGCCTTGATGCCTCACACTTGGACTGACTGATGGCTGTACTCTTCTTCAGGCCACAGCTCACAGCTCACCAGAGGTTTATCAAAGGGCCATGCCAATTACTCATTCCCCAGGGTTACAGTCTCCAACTGGGGTCTTGTTTCAGGTCAGATGTGAAGACAGCTATGCTCCTGACACCAAGCTTTACTGGAAGAATACCCTGCATACCCTCAGAATTAATTCTCTCTTCTCTCTCTCTCTCTCTCCTCTTTCCTCCCCCTCACTAACATTCAGTACCTTTCGTATAACTAGAATTTTGTATATCTAGTATTCTTGCCTTTTTCAATGCTCAGCCTTTCTTTATTTCACAGTCTGTGTCATTTGAACTTTTCTGAATAATTCTCTTGATTGCATCTTTTATTTCAAAAGAAAAAATGGTTAAATAAATATATCTGGCACTGAAAAAAAATTTTTTTAAGGTGGGACTTGGTGGTGCACACCTTTAATCTCAGCACTCTGGAGGCAGAAGCAGGTGGATCTCTGTGAGGCCAGTCTGGTCTACATAATGAGTTCCAGGCCAGCTGGGGCTACAAGGAGACTCTGTATCAAACAAAACAAAACAAAAAGTTGGGGCTGGAAAAACGACTAAAAGTTTAGGACCAATGCCTGATCTTCCAGAGGTTGGTTCCCAGCACCCACATAGGGCAGCTCACAACCACCTATAACTCCAGTTCCTGAGTTTGATGCCATCTTCTTTTCTCTGCGGGCACCTGAACACATGTTTACATACCCACACAGAGACACACACTTATATACACAATTTTAAAATAATGAAAATTAAAATCTTCAAAGAAAGCTTCAGGGAAAGAGGTTTAGCTCAATAAAGCATGTGCTTAGCTTGTGAAAGGCCTGGATTTATCCCCAGCACCCAAAATAAACAAAACAAACTTCTTCCATAATCTCCAATCTCTAGCCCTATTATATATTCTTAAGTGTCTTATATACATACCAAATTAAAATTTCCCAGAACCACATTCTCAGGACTCTTTATGCTCCACATGGTAAAATCCTAGTATATTAGCTGGCATTGGAGGAACTTCACAAAATGATTCCAATTTAGACTCACAGACAACCAGTGATTGACCATTCATTCATTCATTCCAAATGATACTAAAGAAAAACTAATTCATACTTCCTCTTATAAGGAGATGGTCTGCACAGAAGTCTGAAGTTGGCATTTAATAGAGTTTTAGATAACTTAAAAAAAAAGTAAAAGTAGATGGTAGCTAGGCGTGGTAGCACACACCTTTAGTCCCAGGACTTTGGAGACAGAGGCAGGTTGATCTTTATGAGATCAAGGCAAGCCTGGTCTACATAGCGAGTGCCAGGCCAGCTGGGGCTACAGGGAGACCGTGTCTCGAGAAGGCCAAAAAATAAAAATAAAAAAGATAGAAGGTAGAGAGAGTCTAGAGGAAAATGCTGGCATATTCAAAGGCACAGATGTGATAGTGTTTATTTGGGTAGTGAGGAATCTCATATGTTTGGGTACCGAGTACTAGGGAAGGAAAAGTCAATACACTGTGCTGCTTCATTTTCCATTACCATAGTAATATATCTGAAGGTGGGTATTTTGTAAAGAAAAGAGTCTTACTTAGCTCTCAGTTCTAGATGTCCAAGAGCATGGTGAGCTCTGGTGAGGGCCTCATAGTAGATGGGATCAAAATGCAGGAGTATGTATAGAAGGGTGAGGCAGGAAACCAGAGAGCAAATCAGGGTTTGCTCTTTCATGATAACCTGTTCTCATGAAAACTAACTCCAAAAGACCAGCATTAATCCCTCCTAAGGGTAATGTCTCTAATATAATTTATGTCTCACAAGGACCCACTTTTTAAAGGCTCCACCACTTCTTTTATTTTTATTTTTTTGCGAAGATTTATTTTTATGTATATGTATGTTTGTGTATCTCTGAGTGTATATGCCACATGCGTGGGGATGCTCACAGAGGCCAGAAGAGAGTGCTGGATCCCCAGAGCTGGAGTTGCAAGCAACATGGGTGCTGGGAATCAAGTTCAGGTCCTCTTAACCTCAGCCATCTCCCTAACCCTTGTGCTATCACCTTTTCTTTAAGGTGCCAGGTGCTATTAGCTCTAAAACTGGAAACACTGAGTTGCACCTGATACATGTTGTAATCTTGAATCTCATTTAGTAAGATTTTCTAAGAAATAGAGACTTAGTAACTCATGATATGTTGCACCAAGAACTAAAAATAATATATTTGAGGAATCCTTATAGTTTTTGTTTTTTGAGACAAGGTCCTGTAGCCCCAGGTGGTGTGGAATTCACTATGTACACCAGACTGTCCTTAATTTCACAGAGATCTACTTGCCTCTGCCTCCTGAGTGCTATGACTAAAGGCATGCACCACTACACCTGGCATACCTCTTAATACTGATATATGAGAGACCAAGCTTCCAATGCACTGAATTCTTGGGGGACAAACCACTTCCAAACTATAGCACCAAGCATGTATATCATACCAAATGGATTGGTTTTTAGCAAAGGAACATAGGAACACTAAAGAGAATTAAGTTGGACGTAACATTTAATGCCACATGAGTTCACCCAGGTAGCACTGCACAACATGAAAGTATGGAACTGTGCTTTACAATGTGGACTATGAAGTCAGAGACATGAATTCAATTTCTGACTACTACTTTATGGATACAGTAAGTGCTTTTCAACCTGGTGAGAACTGGAACCATCTGGGTACTAATGTCTAGGTCCTATCCTGAGAGATTCTAATTTCATTTTTCCAAGGCATGACCTGGATTTTTTAAAGCTTCCCAGAATATCTGACTGTAACGCCAAAGTTGATAACATGCTACTATAAAACTGACAAGGTATTTAAGCTGTCTGCCAACATAAGAGTTTTTATGAAGATGAAATGAACTAGCACATGTTTAAAGGCTTTTAACAAGCCGGGCGTGGTGGCTCATGCCTTTAATCCCAACACTCAGGAGGCACTGGATCTCTCTGAGTTCAAGGCTAGCCTGGTCTACATAACAAATTCCAGGCCACCTGGGGCTACAGGGAGAGCCTGTCTCAAAAAAACAAAAAACAAAAACAAAAACAAAAACAGTTTATAACAGCTTAATAAATTTTCATTGTTGTCATTACATATTAGTAATTAGAATGGGCATTTAGTTTATGAGATTGTTAAGGAAGAGACAGATTAGAAGATTTAGTAGACAGGACGGGGCTTAATGCTGGGTTAGATAATGAAAATGATGAGGGATAAAGAAGAATCCTGATGTTGCCTATAACCAAGAGCACAGAGGAAACAAGCTTAGATCCATAAGATGACTAAGGTGACCAGTCCCCTCCTTCAAGCACAAGGCAAACACATTCTATCATTAGAGATTTTTAAGGTCTGTAGAAGGGCTAGAAAGTTGTGTTTTAGAGCTCTTGCTGCTCTTCCAGAGAGTTCAGTTCAGTTCCTAGCATCCATGTAGGGCAGCTCACAACTGTCTGTAATTCCAGCTCCAAGGGATTTGATGCTCTCTTCCAGCCTCTGCAGGCACCCACATACTCACAGCATACACACAGACACAGACACACACACACACACACACAGATACACACACACACAGCAGGGGGGATTCAAATAAATCTTAAATACTACGTGCAAAAAAAAAAGAATTACAGCAGATTTCTCATTAAAAATGAACAATTTTAAAAATTATCACTGTGAAATACATCATTGCTTCAAAAAAGAATTTTTCAAGGGTTGGAGAGATGGCTCAGTAGTTAAGAGCACTTGCAGAGAACCTGAGTTCAGTTCCCAGCACCCAGATGGTGGCTCACAATCACCCAAAACTCCAGTTCCAGGGGATCCTATGCCCCCTTCAGGTCTCCAGTAGGCATGCACACATATACATGCAGGAAAAGCATTCATACACATAAAATAAATAATAAAAACATCATTTTTAAGAAAAAGAAGACATTCATAATTTCTATTACATCAAATATTACCTGCTCTTTTTACAAAATTCACTTTCTATGTATCTCATAGGCACTTTAAGCCATTCATTTGGAGTCATATATTGCCTTGAATTAGAAATACTTGGGAATCTAGAATGCAGTTGGGCCTTCTCAATCTCTTTAAATTCCTTCCTTGTATATATTTTGCCTGCAAGAAGATTAATAATCTAAATCATCACACTTAAATATAGCTTTCACGGCTCTTGGATTATAAAATCATATAAGAATTAAGTACCAGTCTCACACTGAAGAAGAGTCCTTTTTTCATCATCCTTGTCATATTGTGCTTTTTTCAAAGGGTCACAAAACTGTGGCATGATAACCTACAAGGTAAGCATGTTTTTTGTTATTGTCTTTTTGAGACAGGGTCTCCCTGTTGCCCCAGCTGGCCTGGAACTTGCTATGTAAACCAGGCTGGCCTCAGTCTTACAGAGACCCACCTGTCTCTGCTTCCTGAGTGCTGAGATTAAAGGCGTGCACCACCATGCCCAGTAAAAAGCTCATTTTTGAGGATGGGAATACAGGTCTGAGTATTAACATTCTCAGTTTATTCTAAGTGCCCATGTGTGTTCTTATGCCAGAAAAGTTAAGAATAGAGTGTATGTACATTTAATACTTTACAAATAGATGGACTCTGATACCTCTTTTGTCAAGACCCTGTAGCCAAAAAGTCAAAGTTAGTTCTCTTGCTCTCGCTCTGAGTGTAATATATACATGTTCATGTAAATGTGATGTACGTATGCATGTATGCATGTGCATTTGCATATGTGTTTGTGTCTGTGGAGGCCAGGGGTTAACATCAGTTGCCGTCCTTTATCACTCTCCCCCTCATTTTTTGAGACAGGGCCTTCACTGCATCTGGAGCTCACTATTTTGGCTAGACTGGCTGACCAATGAATGAGCCCAGATCCATTTGCCTCTGTCCCACCAGCACTGGGGTTAGAGATGCATGCTGCTGTGTCTGGCTTTTACAAGAGTAACAGGGATCTGAACTCAGGTCCTCATGCTTGTACTTCAGGCACTTGGATAGCTGAGCCGTCTCCCCAGTCCAAGGAAAGGTTAGCTCTTAAAGTTGGGGTTCAGTCTTCAAAAACTCTTCTGTCACTGTCATACATCCCTCAATTTTTTTTTTTTTTTGGTCTTTTTGAGACAGGGTCTCCCTGTAGCCCTAGCTGTCCTAGAACTCACTATGTCGACCAGGCTGGCCTTGAACTCACATAGATCTACCTGCCTCTGCCTCCCGAGTGCTGGGATTAAAGGCATGCGCCACCATGCCCGACAATATATCCCTAAATTTAAAAATCCATTTTCCTTGGATAAATGGAAAAAATATATGCATGTATTCATCTTCATCCTAACATCCACAATTAACAATATAATAACTGTACAAAATTTAACTAAGGGGGGCTGGAGAGATGGCTCAGCAGTTAAGAACACTGTTCTTGCAGAAGACCCAGGTTCGAATCCCAGCATCCACATGGCAGCTAACAACTGTCCATAACTCCAGTTCCAGGGGATCCAACAGTCTCTTCTGTTCTCCAAGGGCATTGCATGACATGGGTGCACTTACCTACATGTAGGCAATACATACATATACATAAAGTAAAAATAATAAAATTAAAAAAAAATTCTTAAACTTAAGATGATATTCAAAATGGAAGTTATCTGTGAGTCAAAGTATTAAAGTACTAAATGTCTTTTAATGGTCAATGTTATATCAAAATTTAGTTCAATATAAGATAACAGCATAAGGAAACAGTCAGTCATGGTCTAGCCTACTCCATGAAATTTTATCATAACTAAAAAGGTTACATATGTGTCTTTCTAGTAATAATTAGACTTATTTTCTTGGGCAGTTATAATATACAACACAACTATTCCAGTTATTTTTCTGTTGCTGTGATAAAACATCAAGACCAAAGCCAATTTGGGGAGGAAAGGATTTATCTCAGCTTACAAGTTACATCCATCCTTGAGGAAAGCCAAGCAGGAACTCAAGGCAGGAACTGAAGCAGAGACCATGGAAGAATGCTGCTTACATACTTGCTCCCCCTGACTTGTTCAGCAATCTTATGCAGCCCAGGCCATAGTGGGCTGGGCCCTCCTGTATGAACAATTAGGAAAATGCCTCACAGACATGCCACAGACCAGTCTGATGGAGAAAATTCCGCAACTGAGATTACTTCTTCCCAGGTAACTCTAGCTTTGTGTAAAGTTAACAAAAACTATTCAGCACAATGATTATTTAAACGATAAGCAGACTGCCCTCTAGAGTTTTGCTTTTACAGAAGTTATGAAGAGTATTACTTACAGGATGAGAAAACATTAACTTGTTATGAAGAGACAAAAATAGTATTACCATCTTCATTATTTGTACTTGACTTTTGATATAAGAATAACATAAAAATTTTAAACTGTAAAGAGAATGTAACAACATACGCATTTAACAACATGTCACAGTTCCCCATCTCCTCAGGATCTTTGAATTTAAGGATATGTGATAGTGACATATGCTTTGAACTTATGGTTCATAGAACCCAACTGAAAATATTGTAACCTAATGGTCCTCAAAAACATACTTTAAGACTTTTTATGCTCACTTCAGCAATGCATATATGAAAACTGGAAGAACAGAAAATATTAGCTATACAATAACTATAGTTATTGCAAAAGGAGGGACAGAAATTCAGGTAGCATTCCCTATTTTTGTTTTGTTTGATTGAGATAGGGACTCATGTAGTCCAAGCTGATCTTGAACTCAAGTGTGCACCATCATGACCAGTTCTGTGTTCATATTTTTTAGGATTTCTCTCTCTTTTTTTTTTTTTTTGGTCTTTTTGAGCCATGGTCTCCCTATAGCTCCTGCTGGCCTGGAACTCACTATGTAGACCAAGATGGTCTCAGTCTCACAGAGATCCACCTGCCTCTCTCTCCTGAGTGCTGAGACGAAAGGTATGTACCACCATACCCAGTAGGATTTTATTTGTGTGTGTGTGTGTGTGTATGTGTGTTTGTGTCCCCACATGTATGCAAGGGCCTATGGAAGACAGATGGCATGTAGAGCTCCTGGGAATTAATCAAACTCAGTCCTCTGCAAGAGCAGCAAGTGCTCTTCATTACTGAGCCATCTCTCCAGCCCCTGGGTTCTATATCTTTAAGAAACAAACAAAAGGACTTATTTATAACTCCAAAGAATGTGTGTATATATGGATTAAATTATTGATATTGTATATTAGAAATTAAGACTGAAAAATATTAATTTAAAATAATAAGCTTATCATATTTAAAATATCATTTAAAAAATAACTATTTTGGGGCTAGAGAGATGGCTCAGCAGTTAAGAACACTGTTCTTGCAGAAGACCCGGGTTTGAATTCCAGCACCCACATGGCAGCTAACAACTATCCATAACTCCAGTTCCAGGGGATCTGACAGCCTCTTCTGTCCTCCACAGGTTTTGCACAACATAGGTGCACTTACCTACGTGTAGGCAATACACACATATAAAATAAAAATAATAATTTAAAAAACTTTTATTTTTGGTCTTTTGAGACAGGGTCTCCCTGTACCCCCAGCTGTCCTGGAACTTACTATGTAGACCAAGCTGGCCTTGAACTCACAGAGATCCACCTGCCTCTGTCTCCCGAGTGCTGGGATTAAATGCGGGCACCACCGCGCCCAGCTTAAATAAAGATATTTTTAAAAATAACTATTTTCAAAACAAAAATGTGAGAAGAGTAATGTTGCTTTACGTTTTGCAAAGTTAATGTTTTGCTTTAAAAAAAAAAAAAAGATAGTCATAGGCTAGACAGAGAGTTCTTCAGGAGTTAAGAGGACTGACTGTTCTTGCAAACCTGGGTTCAATTCCCAGCACCCACATGGTGACCAACAACCATCGTAACTCCAGTTCCAGGAGATTCCAACACCTTCTTCTGACCTCTGCAGGCTTTGCACTACACGGGTGCACTTACATACATGCAAGCAAAACACTCACGCACATAAAAATAATATATAAAATTTAAAAAGTCGGATTCTTGTATCTGCTTCTGAGAACTATAGTTGAAGAAGATGAAGAAAATGCAAAGGGATACATATTTGGAAAGAAAGAAGTATTGCAATAGTCTTTTCAGATCACTAAAGTAGATACTCCTTTACTTTTTTTTTTGTTTGTTGTTGTGTGGTTTTTGTTTTGTTTTGTTTTTTTGTTTTTTTTTTTTTTTGGTTTTTTTTAAACAGGGTCTCCTTGTAGGCCCAGCTGGCCTGGAACTCACTATGTAGACCAGGCCGGCCTTGAACTCACAAAGATCCTGCCTCCTGCCTCCCCAGTGCTGGGAACTACAGGCGTGCGCCACCATGCCCGGCCTCAATACTCCTTTACTTTTATGTTTAAGATTTATTTGTTTTTATTTTTGAGGGTTTGCCTGCATGTGTATGTATATTCACCATGTGTATGCCTGGAGGCCAGAAGAGGGCATCAGCTCCACTGGACCTGGAGTTACAGTGATTGTGAGCCAACATGTGGATGCTGGGAAGCAAATCCAGGTCCTCTAGAAAAATAGCACGTGCTCTTAACTGCTGAGTCATCTCTGTAGCACCTCCCTTTTAATAGTGTGTGTGATACATGTGTGAGTTACAGCACATTCCTGTCACAGTGCACATGTGGAAGTCAGGGGACAGCTTTCAGGAGTGGGGTATCTCCTTCCACTATGGGTTCTAAGGATTAAACTCAAGTTGTCAGACTTTCATGAAAAGCACTTTTGCCTGCTGAGCTATCTTGCTGGACCCACTGTGCATATTTTTATTTAATATTTTAAACAAAGTCAACAAGTGGTCTTTTTTTTTTTGAAGACTTATATTTAAGTGTGTGTGTGTGTGTGTGTGAGGTGCACACACCAGTGCAGGTGTCCTTTGGAGGTCACAAGAGGGTGTAGGATCCTGTGGAGCTGGAGTTTCAGGTGGTTGTGAGCCATTTGACATGGGTGGTGGGAACTAAACTCTGGTCCTCTGGAAGAGGAGTATACTGCTCTTAACCTCTGAGCTATCTCTCCAGCCCTGGTGACAGTTTCTTAAAGGTTAGTTAAAATTTGGAATCTGAGGCTGGATGTGGTGACACATGCCTTTAATCCCAGCACTTGAGAGGCAGCAGCAGGTGGATCTCTGTGAGATCAAGGCCAGCCTGGTCTCCATAGCAAGTTCCAGGTCAGCTGAGGCTACAAGGAGACCTTGTCTCAAAAATAATAATAATAATAACAATAATAATAATAATTTGGAATCTGAGGCCACACCAATGAATTTTTCATATTCTTCTATACTAAAATACATT